AGCAGGGTGTTATAGGGCCACCCCAGGGGCAACACCACCAGCAGGTTCAGGTGGATCTCAGGCTCGGAAGTGCTGCTGGACCACCTCCAGGATGATACTGCATCATCGTCCACACAGGAAGAAAAAAACCAGTGGTTTGAATTCTTAGTCTCAGAGTATTTCAGATCCCTTCTTAATCCATTATCGGTGGTCCCCAAAGCTTTAAATGTCAGTGTATTGCATTAGAAACAGCTCTCCTTTTTTGGTGCTGGATCCAAGCACCTCCTCCCACCCCCTTACCTCCGGCTCCCCCCCACCTCTGTCCATAATAAGAGTGAGTTTGTCCAATGTCTCAGAAATCAGAAGGGCGGTGTGTTGGTTTGGGTTTGGTTTTTTTTTTTTGGGGGGGTGGGGAGGTGTGGGAACACAACAATGGAGGGATTCAGGATCCATTCTCCCACTCAATTCCCTCCTTTCTCACCAAGGTTTGTGGTCAGTGAAGCCAGGACGAGTCATCCCTTCCCTCTTCACCACCAGTGTTCACTAATTGGACCAGGAGTGACCCTGGATGCATATCTTCACAGTGCAGAGGCATAGCAGCCGTGGGGATTGCTGGCAGGAGCTGGGAAACAGGGACAGAGCCCAGGGGATGTTTGGAAGGGGAAAAGACACTATCATCCCACAAGGATACACCAAGGGGGGCAGAGGGGAACAAATACCCGTTCTTCTCTGACACTCTCTCTCCCTCCCAAGTTGGACGTTACCTGGAGGCCACAAGGTCCCCTCATTTACCTGCCACAGAGACACGAAGAGCAGTCTGCCCTGAGCTGCACAACAGCAAACACCTCAGCAGGACACAAGGATCAGTGAAAGCAAGAGCAAGAGTGGACTTGAGCGTGTCATCCCTCATACCAACCACACAGGCACAAACCCACCCCATCTTTTCTGTCTGTCACTTGGGTACAGCATTACCCCCAGTCCCCTGGAGGGGCAAAGACGGCCAACCTGCCCTGTTCCCTCTGCTTTAGCAAGCTCATCTGCTGCAGGTCTGCCAAACCCACACCCTTCCCTTCACCTGGGGCAAAGGACAAAGATGAGTTCCCCACTCCAAAGCTACGCATGGGCACACAGTCCCTTTTTTTATGTGGAAAGCACAGAGAAAGGCAAGAACAGAGGTGGGCAGAGAAAAAGAAGCGCAGGACTTGGGGATGCCACACACTGCTTCACCTAATACCTGGCCCTTCCCTTTGCACCACTTAATTTGAAGGTGGAAAGGTTCTGGGCAAGAAAAAGTGCAGAGCATGAAGATGGCTGCAGGGAAAGGCTGGTCATGCTTCTTCTCCCTCCACCAGACAGCTTTGCTCCCAGAGAGGCAGCGGGCACGTGGCTTTGCTACACATGGCTGCAACAACTAACGGACATTGGGCTCTGATGGTCTGATCCCAGTTTCAGCCCAGGAGCAGGATGGGGGTTTTTTTCAGCCCTTCCCTTCTCAAACCTCAGGACCTGGTTCAGACAAGATCAAGGAGCCTCAATGCTCACCTCAGAGTTCAGCATTGGGAAACGAGGATCTGATACAAACCTGCCTCCTCCTTTACCTCTCTCACCACCCCACACACTTTTGGGTTCCCTCTTGCGGAGGTTGTTGGGGCGGGTGTCTGTCCCTGCTGTGTGCTGCCCACAGAGGTCCCGGCCCAGCAGTACAGGCAAGACTGGACAGAGGGCAAGCCACCACCGTGGGAAACCACGGTGCAAAAGTCAGCTTGCTAGTCCCTGTCCCCTCCAGGGAGAAGAGGGAAGATTTTTAATGACAAGCACTCTAGGTCCCTAAGGATAACAAACACAGGGTTAGCCAGCCAAATTAGACAGAAACATTGGCTGGTTTGGCCTTAAATCAAAAAATGCTTAAATGATTCTTGAGAAACAAAAAAATGTATTTCGTCTGTGAAGCCCCTTCATCCCACCACAACAGAAGTCTGTTTTAAATTTAATTTCCTAAGAATAAGGAAGTGGGTAAGTCCAGAAGGAAGATAGGGCCAGAATCCTGCAAAAGAGCCCCAGTGCTGCTATTACAGCAGAACCTTCTCCGCCTGCCCAAGGGGGCAGAAGAGAGAGGCAATTTGGAGGAAGTAGTGAAGACTGATGGAGCAAATAACACAGGAGAGGGGAGAGAAGGCAACAGGCCTTCAGGAATCCAGAGGCTGCAGCTGTGGGCTCATCTGAAACTCGCAAGAGACAAGGGCCATACCTCAGTGATGAAAACATGACTTGCAGTGCACCAAAAATCCCCAAGGATGCCAGTGCACAGGAAGGGCTGCGCCCACTGTAGAACATAAAGAGGTGCAGCCCCAGCACACATGCACTTTAGCCGTTGCTTCACGGCACTGACACTACCAAAACAACCATGCAAAGACACACTTCTCTTTCTCTCCTGTCTTCAGCAAGGCCTGGCACTGGGCTTGTGGTGTTATCACTGAGATAAGACAAAGCTAAAGGTCTGAGAGTACATCTCAGGCTCCCTTCCAAGAGTAAAAACGAGAAACAGCGTCTTCCTTCCATACTTTGCTGCTGCTGAATCCCACAAGCCAACTCACCTGCTCTCCTCCAGCTGCCCCTGGGGAAAGCATGTTCCCTTCACGCTGCAGCTTCAGTGCTACTGCTCTCATCTTGCTCAACGCAGGCTCCTCCTTTCTCAGCTGGGTCCCCATTTCTCTATAACCTCTCAATGCCCAAGACCTTCATGCAGTCACTTGGCACAAGGACCCCATGACTGTGACAGGACTCGCTCCTGCTGCATCAAGTCTGGACTTCGAAGAGCCACAGATTCCCTTTTGGGGGGGAAGAGCATTCTGCCTACCAAAGCTTCTCCCTCCACTCAGTTCCCAAAGGGGCTTTTCTTTCTGTGGGGAAGACACAGCAGAACGGAGAACAGTGATTTAAAAAAACAAAGAAAAACAACAACAACAAAAAAAGAGAGTCCTTCAATTCTTCTAAGTAGGCCTTATGGCACATGAGATGTGGAAGGAGCTAAGATGAACTCCATCTCAGTTTGATGAGGAAAAGGGGTTCATCTTCATTCTGTTCCAGTCTCAGTCTTATTAGGCAATCAAGTTATTTTTGTTGATGTTTTTTCACTTCTCTTGAGAGAGGAATAGGAGGGAAAAAGAGATACAGAGAGAGGAATGAGGCACAAGGATGGGAATGGGCAGGACAACACAGGAATATGGAGCCCTGGTGGAGTGAGTTAACGGCAATGGAAACCTTCCTGCTTCAGCACAGCTAGCCTGATGTCAGGGTCACTCCTTATGCCAACATTTTCCTTCTCCTACTCTATATGATCCTCACTTCTCTGCTTGGAACATGAGCCAGTCTTTCCAATGCAAGGCTAACAGGGGAAGTTCATCATGCTTTTCACCCTCTGCTCACTACAGCCCAGGCTCCAGGGACCCCGTCAAGCCATCTGCTAAGGAAAGGTGGATCTGCCTCCTCAATGAGCTGAATCAATCCAATACAACAACAGGCCAGATCTTGACTACCCATCACTGGCAAACTGAGCAGACACTGGCCCAACCAGCTGCAACTAGTGGCCTCCTAGATCCCCTCTCCTCTGCATGGTCTTGTCCGCATGGCCCAGGCTGCACATGTGGGCTGCATATGCTCTCTGAATCGCATGATGGTCCCAAAACAGCCTCTTGGCCATGGGGGAAGTCTACCCACGGCCATTTCTCAACAAGCTCCCTCATACCCTAAAAGCAGACAGATGGATCCTGTGCCTTAACAGGCTTTGTGTTTCCCCATAACGACTCGGAGCTTTGCCCTTCTTTCCCTTTTACCCCATGGCAAGAAGGAATAGCCAACACGTGTAAGCAGCAGTGCTGCAACAGGCAGCATCTGCAGGGTTTCAGAGGCAGATAGAGAGGCATGCAACTGTCCCACGTGTGTAGCACTGCTATGCAGAGCCAATGCTCTCCCTGGCCCTCTGAATTCCCCAAGTAGTCATCCATGCCGAGATAGAGATCGCAGATTCTGGACCCCACCATTTCCTGAAAGCACACACCCCCAAACCCAGCAATGTCCCCTTTCCCCCCAATACTGGTAACAGACCCATGCATGTTAGCACTCATGCACATAGGAAACCATGCACTTGTAAACATACACTCCCATCAGTCCCCTGCAGCTTATCCCAGCCCCAACAGAAACATGTACTGCAGGGAATATGCTTCAGCTTCTGTGTCTGTGGGCCAAGCCAGTGCAGTGTTGTGGGGCCAGGGGTGACAAAAGGAGTTTAAAAAAAACCCCCAACCCTACAATTTAAAAAAACAAAACAAACAAAAACAAAAAACCAAGAAACAAAACCACAGCTTTCTCCTCTGCTTCCCATCTGCCTGCTCCAGGACTGGTAGAGCAGGCTAAGACACAGCCCAGGACAGATGCATTAAGCCTGTGGGAAGAAGCTGCATCTTGGGGAAAAAAACGTTGGAAGCAAAGCATTTCCCTTCCCCAAAATACTCTTTGAATATAGAGGTATAAAAAAAACCCAAAACCAACCCTGCATACTGAGATGCTTTTGCACATTTGCTCATTCAAAAAATGCCTGTGACACACATCTGCACACATGACCACTCGCATAGGTTTGTGCCTGCTGACTCACACGCTCACTGAATAGCCCAGGCTCACATCTGTGCTTGCTCCGATCCACAAAGGATGAGGGTGGACAGGAACAGCTGCCCTGTCTCCCCATGGGACCCTCCCAGCCTCCCCCTGAGGAAAATCCGCCAGCTGGCTGCAGAGATTCTCTCCAGCCAGCAGGAAAGGTTTGGGACATGCGGGAAAGTATTTACGCTACTGCCAGAGTAGGTCCCCAACATCTCTCCTCCTGCTGCCCTTCACAGGACTGAGGAATTCTTGTCCCCAGGGTCACCCTGGGATGAAGGGAAGAAGAGAAGGGAGGGAGGGCAGAGATCCTGGAGAAATGGCACACCCCACCCAGAACCAAATGAAACAAAAAAAGAAAGGAACAGATGAAAACATCCGATTCTTTCCCTTTGTTGTGAGATCTTGATTTCCCAGGTGAACTCTGGTGGCGTCACCCAGCGCCCTCCACTTTTCGGTAGGGGTTCTCCAACAAGTAGCGGAACCGCTGGTAGTTCTTAAGCAGGTACTTGGGAGCATACATCTGCTCCTTGGGGTCAGCGGGGGGATACTCCTGCGTTGTACCATCAAACCAGCCACCAGTCCGGATCAGCTCCCGGATATAATTGAGGTCTCGTTTATCCTCATAGTCACCCCAGCGAGGGAAGTCCCCATTCTGGGCTGACACCAGTTTGAAGTAGATCCCCTCTGGGGTGAAACACCAGGAGCAGTGCCAGCCAGCAAAGTGGAGGGGGCTGCCCAGTGACCACTGCACCAGGATGTGTCCTGTGCTGTTCTCATACTGCCGAAAGCCAGGCATGGTATAGTATTCACGGCGTCGCAGACGGATCCCGTCAGTAGCATAGACAGCCTGGAGCATCCCCATGGTGCAGCCCGAGACCACTTCCAAGGTGCCTGGTTGCTTCCAGAAGAAGCCGTAGAGCGACTTGCGCATGTGAAAGGCGAAGGGCTCCGTCCAGCCATCGTAGAGCTTGAGGAAGAGCACACCATCACGGGCCGGGATCTCATCAGCATCATCAATGATGAAGACATCATCTGGGCGCAGGTTGCGGAGGCGGGAGATGCCATCCCGGGTGAGAAAGGTGCGCAGGTAATCGTCAGCAATCCAGCCGTCCTGGCGGCCACCTGGGGGGAAGTGGTCCAGGAAGACGTAGAGCACCTTGTGGCGGATGTAGTCAAAGGAGCCGTTAAGGAGCATCTCACGGAATTTGAGGGGCCGTGGTTCTCCATAGGCTGTGAAGTTTGACTCACACACCACAAAGGCATCCACCACGTCTCCCAGCTCGTGGAAGCGGACATCCAGCAAGTCAAACTCATGGTTGACATTGATAGCATTGATGACCCGCCGGGGGATCTCCCGTGGCATGAGGCGGTCCTTGGTGGGCAGGTTGGAGTACTGGACCACAGTGGGGACCCCGCAGCTGGGGCCATGCCAGCCTGGCAAGCACACGCACTCCACCCACTTGCGTCGTTTGGTCCCACTGGCACTCAGGGGCTTGCGAGCCAGCCGCCCCGAGGCTGCACCATCCGCTCGCTCCTCTGGCCGCCCTCCCACAGGTGGCTTCTCCAACACCTTGGTGCCTGGTTTAAAGCAAATGCCGCCAGCTTTGGTACGGACAAAGTATTCTGTTGTGTCTTCCGGCAGCACAAACTCAACTTTGTGCAGCTCTTCGCTGGTTCTGCTGGGAGGCAGGGGCTGGAGCAAGGGGGAATGGGAGTACAGGGGTGTGCGGAGGAACTCGGTACCCCCAGGCTCAGGGCTGACCTGAGGTGTGACGGGGGCATTGTTCCAGAAGAAGCTGGAGACGAGGTTGGGACTAAGCGAAGCCAGCTCCCGGGGGAAGGTGACATAGGAAAGGGCCTTGAGGAAGTGCAAGAAGGAGATGAGGCAGAGACCAGCCATGCAGAGAGTCAGAAAGAGCTTATGGCGTCTCATCTTCATCCTGTGGAAAGGCCATGAAAAGGAAAGTCACATTCAATAGTTACTGAGGTGCAAGAAGTTTACAACTGGTAGGAAGACAGGTTGGGGACAGCAGAAAGCTGGTCCAAATTCTGCATGCATCTTTTCAGACTTGAATCCAAGACCTATTCCCTCCACCCCCTGTGGTCTTCAGTGGGTCTTTTACCAAGCTGAACCTCTTCTAGACCAGTCAGTCACTTATAAACTTAAAGAAAGGCACTGGTGACAGGGTAGAGAGACAGGAAATGCAGAACAACAGGAATTCATGATCTAGTGAACCTGGCAGATTTGTCCCTATTCGTTGATGGAAACAAAATGAACATAGGCCTCCTCAGGCCCTGCCTCACCAGATGGTTGGGGGAAGATGAAGAGAGAGCAGAAGGGATGAGACAGAGTAGAGGGTACACAGTTGAAACATGACACGCATAAGAAGCATTTTTAAAGGACTGATATCATTTTCCTGGTTCTGGCAGCCTGGCTAATACCTACACTCCTCAGATCTTTTCAGTGTTTGCTCAACACACACCCTAAACCTCACCCTGATTCCTAGGACATGCTACCTTTTTTTCTCCAAAAGGAGAAAAAAAAAAAATTAAGATTCTGCCACTTTTACTCTTCTCTCATGCTTCTCAAGTCTGCTGTACCTCCAAATGTTGCCCTTCGCTTTTCATTTTCTATGGACCAGATGCTGAGGGCTTTTAGCATCTGGATACTGGTAATACTGTGCTGTCGTGATGGATCCATGTCAGGCCAGCAAGAAGCCAGCAGCGCATGCCCCTTCCCTCCAAACAGCATGAAATATTGCCTTCATCCTCTCCCTACATCACCTCCCCTCCTCCAGCCCAGGCAGGGAGTGCAGAGCTGCTGCCAGGCAGATAAGTGATTGAAGACTGAAATGCAGAAAAAGAACCAAAAAAAAAAAAAAAAAAAAAAAAAAAAAAAAAAAAAAAAAAAAAAAAAAAAAAAAAAAAAAAAAAAAAAAAAAAAAAAAAAAAAAAAAAAAAAAAAAAAAAAAAAAAAAAAAAAAAAAAAAAAAAAAAAAAAAAAAAAAAACAAAAACCAACCACCAAACAACAACTAAGCTCACCCAACGCTTTGCCAAGGAAAAGGAGAAGATGTGTTTGTCTTTGGCTGTTTGGGGAAGGGAAGGCTGGGGTGAAGGTTGGCAACCAAAGCCCTTTGCAACACAGAGGCTGCCGTCTTCTCCCTGGAGCATGAAACCTTCTACGCAGCAGCAGGTGAAGAGGTAGAAACCCCCTCTGAGCCCCACACATCCACCGCTGTACCTCTTCAACAACACGTTCCCCTACGGCAGCTCTCCGCCCCGGCACCCTCCTCCTCCCAGGGCCAAAGTTCCCGATAGGCACTGCACACCCCTTTGCCATCACTCATAAACCCTCTGCACAGCGCACAGTAGTGCCGGAGATGCCTTCACAGGAGACGGTTCCCCCCTCCTGGAGGGCACAGGGGAGCCACTCCATGCCACCAGTCCCCATACAGGGGCTGCCCCAGGGCTCCTCATGGCTGACACGTGTCCCCATGTGGAAGCAGAGGGAAGAAGCAGCCAGCCTGCTCCCACCACTTCAGAGGGTATTAAGTAAAATGCAGTAAAGCATGTTTACTTATTAACTTGGAGAGAATTTAATACTAAAGTGAAAAGCCATAAAGCATTTAGACAGATGGCAACCGCCCAAAGGAAAACATATTTGGCGCTCTACAGATGGCTCCGATACAGACTTGATAGAGAGGTTGTCTGCGGTTATACCTTACAGCTCAGCAACAAGCACTCCTGGACGCTTTGCAGTCACCTTTTTAGTGAGAACCACGTCCACTGACACTGTCCCTCATGCTTAGGTGGCAGGCAGGCTGAGAAGTCCCATGTCAAGCTTTGAAGGGGGGGACTGCAAGCCTCAAGCTGGTGGAAGAGTTACAGCATCGCCATGGGAGGGAGAACAAAAAATTAAGGAAGAAGTGGCAGCTCTCCTCCTGGGACCACACCAGGGCAGGCCCTTGCCTCCTGCACCCACCTGCCACAGCCCGCCCTCACATGGTCATGGCCCCGCTGGTGGGAGGCCATCTGCATGGTGGCTCAGCCATGAAGGCTGGATGCCATCCTGTTCAAAGCTGTAGAGGACCATCCTGAGGCTTGCTGTCAAGCTTCCTACATGGGGCAAAACAAGAGTGTCCCGAGAAGCATCTCATCATGTCCAGGTCTGGTTTTGTTTGGTTTTTTTGTTTGTTTGTTTTGTTTTGTGGGGTTTTTTTGTTTGTTTGTTTTAAGGGTCCATTAATGCCTTGCTGAAGTAGCGAGATCACTTGCTAGGTAGAGCAGTATCCAGTGCCTTTTCCTTGCACATCATCAGTTTTTGCTCTGTCTTGAACTGTGAAGAAGAGAAGGGCACAAGGAAGCTGAAAGCACTAAATTAGCAGCAACTGGCTGTCTGGAGAAGATGTCCCTTGCTGGTAAATTAGTACAACTTTCTCCAGTTGGGTGTCCTGTGCTTTCTCCAAGGCGTTACTTTTAGACATCAGGTTGCTCTCTCAGATGCCGAAACCCAGGTGAGACGAATGGCTGCCTTGCTCCAATAAGGGAATCCCAATGGCTGCCAGTTAATGCTGGTTTCACTCCAGTTCCTACAGGACACACAAATGCAGGGCAGCCAGCTTCCTCTGGGCCAGCCCAGGACAGAAGACAGGTGCTGGAGGAGTCACACAAGGCACATCTCCATCTTCTTCCCAGATGGCCGCAATGCTCCACATGCCATGGTAGATTCCCAGAAAAAAGGTCATAACTCTTGACATTCAACAAACTGCTTCACTTTCTGGGATGTGGTGTGCTATGTCAACATAGCAGGACACACGGTTCTAGGAAGTAAAGCATGTTTTCCTCACTTGACGTTTACATACTATCAGTATCTGTCAGGTTCAGCGCAGGGCTCTGCAGCTCTTCACCCACCAGCAGAACTCAGCCTGGGCATGGCAGCATTGCCTCCCTGTTACTGCAGCCTGCACTTGGGAGAGCCGGGCTGGTGCACACAGCCCTCTCCGCAGCTCTGCCAAAGCAAGCTGGCCCTGCAGTACCCTCTGCTGTTTTGCTGCTGACACATCCCAGGAGGCAATTTTCACTGCTCAGTTTTCTTTGTTAGGGAGCAGGAATGTGAACCCATTTCCTATCCCCTCCTAAAAGGGAAGAAAGCAAAGCAGCAAGCTGTGTCCTCTTCAAAACCTCTTCCCTGGGAACCATCTCCATTCTCACATGCCAGGGATTCCTCTCCCAGAGAGCAGAGAGAGCTCCTGCTCCCTTGGGTGGGCTGAGATGCTAAAACCACCACATATCCCTTCCCATATCCTCTGAACAGGGCTGCAGTGAAAGATGTGCCTTTGAGTGGTAGCTAATTGGAGACAAAGGCCAGCAGGGGAGGAAGATGTTATTACCCACCTTCCCCATCCAGAACATTTATGTGTGGTGGAAATGAGAGAGGAGGCACCAGTCAGGGAGACATCTCAGCTTGTCACACAAGAGCCCAGCTGCTCTGTCACAAAGCAGCCATCAGTTACCAGGAACACAAAACAGCAAGAAAAGATATTTCCCTTCTGACAATTTTGAGTGAGGAGGGGGAAAAAAAAAGTCAACTTGATCTCAGGGAGTGATCAAGTTGCTGTCAGGTTAAAAACAACAGCAAGAAAAGCTTTAATGTTCAAGTAGAAGAAAAAGCCAGAAGGAGTATGGACAGTCAGCTCCATTAAGACAAAGCTCTTTAGGAAACATGCAGTTATAAACCACTTCAGCAACATTCAGCCTCAGCAAGAGAAGCTGAAAGCTTCTTTTTGTAAGGGATCTCTTTGATAACTTCTTCAAGCAAGGAAGTATGTCTTTGCCATGCAGGGGAAGGGCTTTCAGAGGAGGAAAGCTAGAAGTGGTATGCATCGGAGTTATCCCCAGGCACCTGTTACCATTTTACTTTGCCATTATATCAAGTGACCAGTTGATTTATACCATCCTGAAATCATATCTCAATTTTCAAGGAGCTGGAGAGAAAGATATGTACCACTAAGAGCTGTCAATTCACCAGTCCTAATGTTCTCTTCTGGAGGACACTGGCAGGAGGCCATGCAAGAGGCTGCTGGATGCGTGACACCCCACATTCCATCCTGTTAGGGCATGGGACTCAAGACTCCGTAGACCTCTCCTGTGGTTAAAGGAGAATGCTCATCTCCTCTGCCTAAAGTTATCACATAACACCTATGCAGTAACATATTTGCCCATCACTCAGACACTTCAACACAAAACAACAATTCAAATTAGAATCGCTTTCACACAGCAGATTGAAATCCAGCATGACTTCCATCCCCCACTCCACATCAAGAGCCAAAAATCTCCCTGTCTCTCTGCTCCAGCTAGAGACAAATGAACAGGCTCCACACTTCTGAAGTCATCCACAGGGCACAGGCATCACAACACACATTGGGGTCACAGTACACTCCAAGATCTCGAGTTACTTTCGTCCTGGAAAAACCCATGAAAGTAAGGAGAAACTATAAAACCTACTATTTGTCTATAACTGAAATGTGACTAGCTCAGGGACAGCACGACTGTGGTTTGCTTAAGGATAGGAAGAGAAGATTATCCTACAAAGCCAGACAGCGGGGAAAGTGAAGAGAAGTGGGATGTACCAGGATGTAGCTAGGGCTCAGCATTTCTGTCATGTGAAGGATGCCATGGTGTTTTCAGCAACC